CAGCAGCAGCAGCAGCAGCAGCAGCAGCAGCAGCAGCAGCAATTACCTTGGAATGCTTCCTGGGCGAGCTCGTGTTTACATTTATCGGGATGAATAAGCAGAGACAGCTGCAGCGTACACCGCAAAACCCTAAACCCTAAACCCTAAACCCTAAACCCTTGACCCTAGCCCCTAGACCATAGACCCTAGACCCTAAACCCTAAACCCTAAACCTTATCTAAACCCTCGTGCTTGGGTGCTCGGCTGCTTCCCCTGCAGCTGTAAGGCTTCAGTTTAGGGTTTAGGGTTTAGGGTTTAGGGTTTGACTGAGGTATGATTAGGGTTTAGGGTTTGTGTTAAGTATGGCGAGGGTTTAGGGTTTTTCGTTCTGCGCTGCTTCTTTATTATATCTTCTTCTATTGCATCTAGGGTTTAGGGTTTGGGGTTTAGGGTTTACCTTTCTGTATTGTTTTTTAATATCTTCTTCACTAGCATCTACTGTCTCCTCTCTCTATCTCCTATCTCCTATCTACTGCCTAGGGTTTAGGGTTTAGGGTTTAGGGTTTAGCTACTAGGGTTTAGGGTTTAGGGTTTAGGGTTTAGGGTTTACTTTTCTGTATTGTTTTTTAATATCTTCTTCACTAGCATCTACTGTCTCCTCTCTCTTTCTCCTATCTACTACCTAGGGTTTAGGGTTTAGGGTTACTAGGGTTTAGGGTTTAGGGTTTAGGGTTTAGGGTTTAGGGTTTACTTTTCTGTATTGTTTTTTAATATCTTCTTCGTTGGCGTCTGGCGTGAGCAGCAAAACCTCAAAAGGAGAAGCAAAAACCCTCGACGTCAATCGAACACATTCTGCTGCTGCAGCACCAAAAGCAGCAACCACTACCTTTGCTGCTGCTGCTGCTGCTGCTGCTGCTGCTGCTTCTTCGGGGGACTTCCCTTCTAGTGCTGCTGCTGTTGCTGCTGCTGCTGCTGCTGCTGCGCCCCCCCGACGATCTGATATATATAACACACACACCACAAACCCTAAACCCTAAACCCTAAACCCTAAACCCTAAACCTCCGCCAAACCCTAAACCCTAAACCCTAAACCCTAATCCCTTCTCTCCCCCAAAACAAAGACCCTAACCCCCCACTAAACCC